TTGTAGCAAACCAGATTTTGGAATACTTAAAGAACTTTGCATTTCTTTCAGCTTTTGATGGATAAATGAGATAAATTTTAATGTATGATGGTAGTGGCTTCATCCTTGGGATTTTATATTTGAGCAGGCTTTCTGTAGTTTCTTTATGTCTATTATGCTATTGAAATAATTTATATCGGAATGAATGAAATAGAAATAATATGTCTGAAATATTAATTATATTAATATAGGGGCCTGATGACAGTCATCTCACCAAATTAGTAACATAAGATCAAATGGTTTCCAGTCATTGTAGAAAATTTTACAGGTTTCTTTAATAGACAGATTGCTTAAAGCATTACTCATTTTTAATGTGAAAATGATTGATCCTAATTAATGTCCATTGTGTGTTTCACTTCATGATTCATAATGTAATTTAGAGATAGAATTCTATAGCAATTACTTAACCAGGAGATAAATCAAATGGGGAAAAGTCATTGAATCCTTACTTCCTACCTTTCAGCCATTTCTTAAGCCAGTGTGTTTAAAAATAACAGTTTAGACGCTGACTCTGCTTTTGTTATTGGATATCTGTCTTCAGCCCCTGGAGTTATGGCGGATGCTGTAAATCTTACAAAAGGATTATTATGAACATTTTGTTAATTATCTTTATAATTCATCTAGCTGTAAGCTGCTAATTGCAGGACCCTCTGTAAGTTCCACTGACATCAATGCTGAAACTCTTAATTTTATTTTTTAGTGTAAAGGTGGGGTTTTAGATACACTTGTACTTAATTGTCAGTTCATACTAATTTTTTCCTGAGAAATACTAATGGAGTCTGATCCCTCTATTCCAGAGCATTATGTATGCCGTTATGTATGAAGCTCTTTGACACTGGGAGAAGTATGACGTTTTAGTTGCATGTACATGTGGAGGCACTTACTGTAAATAGTCAAAGAGTTCCAGGAAGAGAGGAATATGGAATCATACCATGCAGTCACTGTCTTATGGTAGTGCATGTGTCCATTTGCAAACCTTCCAAACTTTACCTATATTAAAAAGTTCAGATGCACTGCAGATAGCTAGCCCACAAATTATGGAGGAGTCATGTGAGAATGCTTGCACAAAGAATAGCCCAGAGCCTAGCTGAGCTGTATAGAAACTTCGTTTTCTTCAGAAGTGTCCCAAGGAAGAAGTACAAATTCTTACGTGTTGCTGTCGTTGTTTAACCTCAGTTGGCAAGTTGAGCACCACGCAGCCGCTCGCTCACTCCCCCCCTCAGAGGGATGGGGGAGAGAATCGGAAGGGTAATAGTGAGAAAACTCATGGGTTGAGATACAGACAGTTTAATAGGTAAAGCAAAAGCCGCGCATGCAAGCAAAGCAAAACAAGGAATTCATTCACTACTCCCCATCAGCAGGCAGGTGTTCAGCCATCTCCAGGAAAGCAGGGCTCCATCATGCGTAACGGTTACTTGGGAAGACAAACGCCATCACTCCAAACATCCCCCCCCTTCCTTCTTCTTCCCCCAGCTTTATATGCTGAGCATGATGTCACATGGTATAGGAATATCCCTTTGGCCAGTTGGGGTCAGCTGTCCTGGCTGTGTCCCCTCCCAGCTTCTTGTGCACCTGCAGCCTTCTCAGTCGGTAGAGCATGGGAAGCTGAAAAGTCCTTGACTAGTGTAAGCACTGCCTAGCAACAGCTAAAACATTGGTGCTTTATCAATTTTGTTCTCATCCTAAATCCAAAACACAGCATTGTACCAGCTACTAGGAAGGAAATTAACTCTATCCCTGCCGAAACCAGACTTTTTCTTCTGAAAAGTCTGTGGTTGGTATTTCAAATAGGCTGCTAAAATAAAAGAGTAATTCCACGACAGTGTTGTCTCTAGACATAGATAATTCCCTTGTATTGATTACACTTGCAAAACATCAGCTTTTGACCCATAAACCATTTCATAAAGATGCTTCCTTTTAAAATCAAAACATAGATAACAGTAGTAATCAAGCTACTTTTCACTTACATTTTCAGAGTAGTTTTTTTGAAAAACATACCTGGCAAATCAACTAGGAAAAACACAAACAGGAATAAAGACATCCATGCAAAAGGATACACACTCTGTCTGTTTCATCTGCGTTTGATAACTTTAATGTTTTGAGATACATTAAGTGAATACTTTTGTGTTACTTGCCAGATTGCAGGTAGCTAGTTTTTGGTTGCCAACCAATAATAAGGAGTAAGATTTTGATTACTATAGTATAGCTTATAGCAATATCTTAGTCAGAGCACACAGTCTTCCAATATTTTTCCTCTTCATCTGAAGAAGGAAGTTATAAAAGAATAGATTTAAATTTTCTTAATTGAAAATAGCGCAAAATAAACTTTCAAACATGAAAGGGCAGATGATTAACTCTTTGCCTCGGGTTAAAAAAGATAATAAAGGCAGGGAGTGAGGGGGCGGCTTGGCAATACTGAGTTACGAAGACTGATTTTTCTAAGTTTAGTTGTTCCGTGCCTTGGGTTTAGTTTCTGTTTCAACACTTATTTGGAGTCTGTCCGATAGGAAGTTAGTAATGGCATCCGTATGCCAGCTGTGCAGTGGTATGGGGTTTCCACAGGCTTTGGGATTTTGAATACAGATAGGAAACCATTTGCTGTTTGTGTTTAAAAGAAAAAATTAGAGTTTTGTAACTAATAGTTAGGGCTGATCGCATAATAGCATAAAAAATTGAATGGAAAAGGAAGCACTGACGTTTTGCCCAGAACACTGTTCAGCACCGGTGTTTTGGTTAAAAAATAAGCTTTTGTAGGCAAGTTCAGTCACTTGGCAGAGCAACTCTGTAATGTTTATTGCCAAAGTAGTGCTTGATATCCAGACTTACCAGATGAGATCTTGTCACTTCTGATTTCGCTAGATATTTTGCTGTTTAGTTTCAAGGGGCCTTCATTCCCTTCTTTCTGGCACAATTTTGTGTCGTCATTCAAGGGAGCTAATGTATTCAGTAAAAGTTGGTAATTAGTTACATCTGCCAGTGAGAAAACAGATTTAAAACACACTTGGGGGTTGATCCCCCTGTTCCCCTGACTTTAAATAAGAGACAAGATCAGACATAGATTCTTAGGAGCTAATAAAGTTTGCTATTTAAGGGCTTCCCACACTGATCCCCAACTTTAAATAGCTGCTTGTTAATTATACAGGTAGCAGTGTGACCTGCCAAATAGTAGCAATTAGCTAAGCCCCACAGATACGGAGCACAGTGTCTCTAAGAAGTTCTGGGGAGTGTTGTAGCAGTCCAAGGAAATTCTCACACAGTGAAATCTTTGAACCACAAAGTCTATTCACATACAAAATTTAAATTGAGGGAGCCTGAGTCTAGAAGAAGGTTTGTTTACTGTCGCTAAAGTTTCCCTAGCTAGAGGAATACTTAATTCAAAGCATGACCCTTGTGTATTATTCTGCATCTCCAGAATATTCCAGGGATATTTGAAGTACTTTGTGGGTAAGTTCAGTATCTTTTATGTTTGGTGATGGCATCAGACGGCACGTTAGGTCTGGCTGATGTTCCCCACTAGAATTGCCAGGAGACCAAACGTTCTGAGTTTTGATTCCGTTCTGCCCTGGTACACGTACAGAACCTCCTGAGTGGTTTCAGAAAGCCTTTTTTTGGTTGTTTGGTTGTTTTTTTCCAAAAGATGATTGATTCCCATTTGAAAGTATCAAACTTTTTCGTTTTGCTCTTTCCCTCCTCCCAGCTGAAATGACCATGTGGTTCTGGGCCTTAGCAATCTCACTGATAACGTTTTACTGAAATCCAAGAGTCTCTAAAATCATTTGGCTTTGCTGAAAAAAATATCTTTAGACTTAAAGTGTGTACAAGGAGGAATATTCAGACCTGTTTTACCTAGTAATGGGTTTTAATCTCTTTCAAAAAGAGGCCTTTAAGGAGAGGATTCTTGTTTGTGGTGGGTATTGTATTTGCTTGAAAATGTTTCACTAAAGCAGAGGACAAACTTTGAAGAAAGGATGCTGGAAAGATGTGCATGTTTTACCACAGCAGAGCAGGTAGCTTTTCATGATCACCAAAACCACAGAAATAACTTCCCATGCTTTCCTGTGAAGCATCTGAGCAATGTTTTAGAGAAATCTGTAAAGGACTACATCAGCCTTGGCCCAATTTGACAGAAAAAAAATCTCATTGGACAGAAAAAACCTCATTGGACAGAAAAAAATTACATGCTTTAACCGGTTGGAAAGGTAGGATTTTTAAGGGCTGCCAGCAATGTATCCTTTGCTCTCAGGAATGGCTATTATTAGACACATCAGATGAGTTTTGTCAATGTGCATTTTTCTCCCACTGATAATTCTAATTAGCTATGGTTGGCATATGTTTCTTTATTTTCAGTTAGTGTTCTGCACAGTTGTTATTCAAATATACTGTGTAAATAAGATCTTGATTCTGTGGTAACCTCCACAAAGCTCTGGTGATGGCAATGGCTTCAGATTTGAACAGCTCTCCTTACGCTGTGTTTAGCAGTACATAAGCGGCCTGACTGATTTCCTTTATGATTGCCAAACCAGCAAAGGTGAAAGAGGATCCAAAACTGTCTACCAAGTTGCTTGTTTTCATTAACTGAAGACTGTTTTTGTGGAATACTTACTTCTGTGACACAAGCCAAAGTAATTAAAGGCTAGGAAGAGAAGAAGGGGTAAAAGCTTTTAAAAATAATTACCACTGCCTGGTAGAACTATACATCTTTCCAATAAACTTGAATCAGTCCCAGTGCCATTCTGTTTGTTCAAAGCTTTTCTCCTCCCGTCTTAAAAGCATAATGTCTGTTTCTTTTTGGGAGATTGTTAATATCATTGTATCATTCATGTCATTATATTTATGTAATTTATATAGTTGAATATTTCTGTCATAGACCATGAGGTGATCTGTGGATTCACATAATTGTATTGATTATTACAACCCAAACTGGAGTTTTACCTAACTTGAACATCTATTTTGCTCTGTAGTTGACACTCCAGATCCCTATGTGGAGCTGTTCATCCCATCCGCCCCTGACTGCAGGAAGAGAACGAAACATTTCAATAACGATGTGAATCCTGTGTGGAACGAGACCTTTGAGTTCATTTTGGATCCCAACCAAGAGAATATTCTTGAGGTAAATCACATGGCTGAGCTGCATCTGTGAAAATGTACAATGTCTGGAAGGTTAAAATAACAGTAGCTTGTACGTGTATGGCGTCTGTTGTCTCAAGATTACAACTTTTTTTTAAACTTAACGTTTAAAAACGTTTTTAAGGCTGGTTTTTGCCTTTAGGCATGGTGCTAAGCAACAGGTGTTGTATAAATTGTATTATTCAAGGGGTAGCCTTGAGAGTCATTACAAGATATGCCTCTGAGTCATCTCTCGGACTGCTCCTGAGGAATAGTAGCTTACTATTCTTCACATCAGCCATAAATTATTTTCTCCCTGCTTCCTACACTGTTTCAGCTATTATGGACAGTGAATAGGTGGGGGTAAAGTCAAGTCTCTGCCCATTCGCTGCTTCTCCTGAGGAGACAGAAAGCAGAAGCATGGTTCTGCTGTCTCCCCTGTGCCTGGAGCCAAGGGCTGAGTAGCCCACCCAGTGATGTTTTGGGTACTCTTATTCCATGTGCAGGCTTGTTGACTAAGCCACCATTAAGACTCAGTACGTTAAGCCTTTCCGGGTTGTATACAAAAGGTGAGTGTTAAGTGTAAGTATTTTATAAGTGGGCATGGCAAGCATTTAAGGTTATCTATAGTCGTTTGTTAGTTTGGTTCTTCGTAGGGGATGGCCCTAACATGTGAAGTCTTCTGATCCAAGCTTATGGAGTTTCAGTCTAAATGGCCAACTGGGACAGAGGTTAAAGCCTGTGAAGCTTTTAATTGAGCTAGTAACCATAATGTCTTGGGGCTAAACTGTTCAAGATCTGAAAATTGAATTGTGCTTCCTACAAGGCTCCCTGTGTTCCCGGGGAGAGGGGTAGGTTCTACAGTTTGGGGAGGAAGAATCCCACGATCAGCTAAATGGAGCATGAAGAACTATCATATGTTTCCTGCACAAGAGACAGCAATACTAGGGAATTCACAATAACTTCACTACAGCTTTGCAGAAAGCAGATTACCCAAAATAGCTTCCACCAGCTGGTCAGCTGCAACAGTCACCTGAGTTGATTCTTACTAAATGTTTTGGTCATAGACATACAAACTGGCCACATGAAACTTGAGAAAAGTTTGAAATCTCTAACTTAGTTCTTGCTTTCCAATAATAAGTCAGGCAAATAGATATCAGGAATTAGAAAGAGGAATGGAGTGATTCTGGCTTCTTTGTGAGAAAGCATTTGTTGAAATAGGAAGAAGAAAAGAAGAACTTGGGTTCATCAACCTGCCTTTGTTGCAGTATGGGAGCTAAAAATGGTTTCAATTTCACCTGATAAAGTCTTTGTGGATTCTAACAGAAGTCCTGGGGCAGAGAGTTTTACCTGTCTCTTTGCAGATGCTGTGCTTTTTTTGGAATATCTGCAGGAGCTACAGCTGGCTAAATAATTGATGTGATCTATAGTAGCTCTCATGATTTTCAAAAGATGAGCGGAATGGTAAACTGAGGAATAGCAAATAATAGTCAAAATACAGTCCCTTGGTTCTACTGGCATCGTATAAAGACTGGGTCAGATTCTGCTTGTAGTTACACTTAGGCAGCTTCCCTAGTAATGTATGAATTTGTTGAGTACAAAATTTGGTTCAAGGATTTTTAAAGGATAAATTTAACTCACAAACAGCAAACGGCTTACCTGATGCCTCCTTGGGAACAGTACCACCTCTTATACTCTGTATGTTTATGGATTCTGATGTGAAGAAGTTGAAATGCTGGCAAGGCATTTATTTCTTACTGATACATGATCTCAGATACCTTTGACCATGTGGAGGCCTGGGTCATTTGCTCCCTTCTGTGGTAACAATGTGACTAGCTCACTTCCCACCAGAGTGAGAACCCCCAGTTACTAAAACATCTTTTGTAATTTGGCTAACATTTTGTAAGGTATTTCTCAGTTTTTAGCATGGTTATATGCAGTTGTTATAAAGTACAGGATTTTATGAGCTGGCATGCTGTTGATTTCCGGCACAGTATGGCCATAGCATACTGCCAGGTTCTGCAAGTCTCTATCTCCTGTAACAGAACACAACAAGGTTGATTATAAGTAGAATTTGGAAATGTATCTTTACAATAACTAAAGGCTGTTGCTGGTTTCTGAGACACACAGTTAATTGTGGACCTGGTTGATATGTATATTTGCATACACATATATGTGGTGTTCACGGTAAACATTCTCTTCACCATGAAAGGTATAGCCTTTAGGTTAAAACTGATGTTTGCGTTCTCCCATTGTTGTACACACATGCAGTGCCCAGCAGAGCCTTTGTATTCTTCATGGAGTGCAGTGTCAGAATTCAAATCTGTGAAACCACCTACCCAAAAGCTCTTTGTGAATTCCCAAGCTCACACAGACTCCACAATCCTCTCAACTCCTCAGATTATTTTAATCTAAATCTTTAACGCTATCCCAAGTGCAGTTTTCACTCTGAAGTGTAAGAAGGTCTCCAAAATCCCGTTAAGAAGGTGTTGCTATTGCTATTTGGTTTTCAAAGACAGCCCTCAGAGATTACAGCAATGGGCATAAAGTTCTGCAAGGAAACAAGAACGTAGATGCCATTAAAATAATGAGTTCTGTCCTAAAATACAGTTCATCATTTCAAAGGGTTGCCTGTGGCACAGGATGAAGAAGATTCTTTATAGCTGAGAAGAGGCTGAACCCAGATGTAGCAACTAGTTATTCAAGTGATTGTATCTTGATTCCATTTGTTTTATGCAAAAGATTTGGTCCAAGCCGCAAACATGATATTTTAGAAGATACAATTCCACAAAGTGGAAAAAACTAGTAAGCCAAATGAGTTTGGAGGACTCAATTCATAGAAACAGAAATTCTTCTGAACATCTTACTTGAGAACTTGGAAGGCTGCCACTGAGAAAAAAGACTGCTAGATGTAGACCCACATGGATTAGAGCAAAAGCATTGAACAGTGTTCTGCGGTATCCACGTACATCTTTGGATAGTACCACATTTTGAAAAGGTATATGCTCTGACATGGAGAATATGAGAAGAGACTTGAAGGTCTGGCTGGATACGAAGAAAAGCTTTGTGTAATTTGGAATGCTGCACATTTTGCCAAATCATTGCTATAAAAATCCTGGTCTGTAGATACAAGGCTAGGATAGATTCTATCTTCACTGAAAAGTTGCTGTATGTTTTTTGGCGTATCACATTTAAAACTATATAAGTTTCTCTATAGAAAAGTTTCACTAACTGGAAATTTGAAGTAATTATATCTTTTATATGTATAATTTGAAGTTACTGTGTCTGCTTAGAAAGGTGGTGAGATTTACTGACAGAAAGGTGCTCGGATAAAAAACCCTTTGTAAATGATACTGTTGTACTCATGCAATTGAATGCCTTGAAGGTGCCACCTACACTACACGTGAGCTTATCCTGTTTTAAAAGAATGTGTCTGTTGGCACTGGATGTTGACTGGGTTGGGTTAGGCCTGTTCCTTTTCCATATAATTTTTTTTTACTTTAGGCATAGGCTGTATGGAATTAAGAAGGGATTTATCAAAGTAGAATTGAATACCTGTGTATCTTTTCTAGGTTACTTTGATGGATGCCAACTACGTTATGGATGAGACTCTTGGCACCTCCACATTTCCTATATCTTCTCTGAAACTGGGAGAGAAGAAGGAGGTCCAGTTAACTTTCAATGATGTAAGTTGCAACATTCGTAGCTTTGCCTGTGTTGGTGCAGCTTTGAACACAATGGAAAGTTCTTAAAAGAGGAACTGAACTGAGAGACCTAAACTATTGTGTAGACCAGGGTGTACCACATTTCAGTCCTCTGTCAGGTGTCTGAATTTTATCTGTGCCACATTCTGGTTAGATAGCTTCTTCACAAATCAATAGAGGATGGTGTTTGTAAAGGCTAAGTGATGTGTTCTAAAGACTCTCACTGAGTCTGGTGTTACTCAGAGTATTCCCTCAGTCACTTTGTTGAAGCATAAGAAAAACGTTTGGCCTGCTCTTGATACTCGTCAGAAGTACATGTTCCTAGGTGAAAGGAAATCCAAGACTATTTCTGATCCCATCAGTCTACCTCAGTACTATGTATGTATGTGTTTTCTTAATATAGAGTTAAGTTTTGAATTCAAGAAGAGAGTAGAATATATCATGGAAGGGGTAAGGATGGCAGCCTTCCAGTCAGGAAATAGCTGAATATGTGGGGGCACAGGACAGGGTATCTCAGGTGAGGATTTTTCTCTGCATATCCTGTTCTGAAGCTCATTTTCTAAGCATTCACTGTTGTTCATGGTTAAACACAGAGTACTGGCCTAAAGGCACCGTATTTATCTTCTTACAGTCCTGCTGAGAGGAGAATTAAGCAGTGCCACTGAAGGCCTTAGTGTCCCTTCAGAGAGAATCCTCTTTAAAAGTCTAGTTTCAAACTTTCACTTGCTAAACCAGTTTCTGCACCGCTTGGTTCAATTTAGTTTAATGGTCTTTGTTAGCATGAGAGGTTACACAGATCTTACTGGTCAGTATATTACCTCTACTACTGATGCCTATGGCTTCCGGAAAGCTAAAAGAAATTTTTTTATTATTATATGTTTCACTTTCAATAAATGGCTTGTTGTAACACAGACCTAGTTAACATGCAATAATGCATTATGTATGTGAACGCTCTAAAAAAAAAGGCAAGTCCCAATTGGATTATTCTCTTTAAACTCGTATATAAAACTGATAGAGTCAGTTTAACAGAGATTGCCTGCACGGTGACTCTTGGAAATTGTTGTTAAATCTGTGTGTAATTGAGCTTGTTCTGCACATATTAAAACATCGTCATTTATTAGAGTAACATATCACAGGCCATTCTGAACATAATTCAGTACTTGTAATTATATGCATCACATCTGATTATCTTTATATGTATATATGTTGTATGCATATACTATATGTATAAATACTGTCTGCATTTCTGTTTTGGGCTATGGTTTATTATATGATCAGAGGTCTCAATTTGTGCCTGCTCTGCTGTTTTCCATGTGATATAACTTTAAAAGTGTGGTTACAGCAAATAACTGGTTAAGGCCTATTTATTGGAAATCTGAGAGTTTCATATGTAAGATTTAGCATTTAATTAGGTATAGCCTTAGGGCAGTTGGAATTTTGATACCCTCATTTTTTTCCCTTTTTTTTTAAGCTACTGCATTTTTTGAAGTTTCTGCATATTTATTTCACTAAGTGCTTCAGTAACTTGGGCTTCCAGAATGTGGGCTGACTGCAGATGCCTAGTTCTGCCAGGCATGAGGTGAGGTAGTGAGAAAGAGCTGATGAATAAATTTTGAAAACACAGTGTACAAAGCTCATGCCAATAATATAATGCCTTGCCACATCACAGATAAGCTTGAACTTCTCATCAGCACTCAGCAAAGCCTGGTAGAGTACATAGGGTAAAAAAATCAGTGAAAAAAGCCAAATACATTCTGAAATTTATAAGCAAATGGTAAGGGAACATCGTCAGGTTGAGCCCAATGTAGACAACTTATATACACAATGTGTATTCCTGAGATTTCTGTGGCAGTCTATATAAGGTATAGAAAATGGCATGCTATTTCCCTATTGCAATGTTTCACTTCAAGGATTTATTTAATACCATGTGCGTACATTTTTCTCAACCATTGGATCACTGCGTGGTTTCTGAAGTGCTTTCTACATTAGTAATACCAGGTGCTGGAATAATGTAATTACTACCCTGTCTTTGAAGTATTTCCGTAAATGACTCTTCACTCTGTTTCTTCATGTTCTCCCTTTGTTATTTCTTTGCCTATTCTTTCTCCCGCCACCCTGTTAATATGCTACCTCATTTACAATTCCTATTTCAGAGGGCAGGAGTGGAGTGCCAGGTTTTACCTGGCCCATCGGCAGGTACGCGGGATGAGGGAGGCCAGAGGCAGCTTTGCACTTCCATATCCTTAACTACTCTGTATAAGTGTCAAGCAAACATTCAGTCTGAGGTGTTCTAGCTCCATTCCTAGTGATCACATACCACAAATGAGGAGGATAATCTGTTTATAGTTAGAGGCAGAGTGAAACAAGACACCGCGTGTGAGTCTTACACACTCCTACAAGGCTGTACCAGTGTGTTGGTCACCATTGCATATGAGAGAGCTCAGGGAGATGAAGATGCCTGTCTGTTCTGTTTTAGTTCTACCAAAGTCGTACTCTTGAATTTTGCCTAACTTTAACCATCATTTTTTAACCTTTTGCCTGCAGGGAACCCCTTTAAGTGCTCTGTGAAAGGCAGAGGAGACCAACCCATAGCTTGTGGGTTAGGTAGTAGTTCTATGTGGTCTGCAAGTGAAATCATTATGTAGTGACGTTTATTAGTTTACTTGATTTGTAAGCAATCACTCTTCCTGATTGATAATTTAAGCGCATTTAACTGTGGAAAGACACTTGGTGCCTCATGTGGAACACAGAGCAGTCATTCCCTTACAAGTCTTTGTTTCAGATAGGAGTTGAGTATGAAGCTTACCCAGTGAACTGGGAAGCAAGTGGCAGATAGACTGTGGCTGGCAGTAGAAACAAAGGATCGTAAGTGTGTGAAGACAATTAGATCCCTTCAGGCCAAAGATGAATAGCACTGTCAAAAAGTGATTTTCAGTGGAAGAAAGCCAAGAAAATGGGATCTGATGAATGAAAGTCAGGACCTAGTAGCATTTTCTACTGTATTCAGTGCTAGTGGAGTATTTTGGAATCACATTGTGTGCTTTTAAAAAAAAGTTCTGTAGAAAAGAAACTCATTCATGTATTTCAGAAATGTCCTCCTTTTTAAAAAAAGTGATTTAAAGAAAAATTCTGACAGTAATAGTTCATGTTCCAGGTGTGTTTGTGTTTTTTTCCCTCTGTAAGTGGTGTAACCATATTTAAATATTTCTTGTTTAGGTCACAGAAATGACTTTGGAATTGTCTCTTGAAGTATGGTAAGTATCTCATATTTAAAAAAAAAAAGTGGAAAATATATTAGCAGCAAAGGTATTTTTTTATTTTACTCTATTTGTTAGAATTTTCTTAAAAACAAGTGTGCAAAAAGTGTGCAAAAATTTTTGCACAAGAGTGCAAAAATTCCTTGTTTTAACATAGAAATACCAAGTACTGTAAAGTCAGGAGATTTTAAAATTGAAGGTTGTTTTCACATTGTAATTCTATCATTGACTTAAACACCATTACTTTTACTAATAGGTGTGCCCTTTTCAAACGTTTGCAGGAACAAGGCCATCATATATGAATTTCTCATCCTGGTTTATGTTACGTGCTTTCCTTTTCAAGGGCTTTTTCTCTAATAAACTCATAGACATCAGGTTCAGCTGTTATCCTCATTATTTTACCTTCTGTGGTAACTGTGTGTCTCATGTTAACTTTCAGAGTATGTGAATAGTCCTTACAAAGCTGCCCCTGAAATGTATTTGAATGTTAATACTATGCAGTACTGAAGTCAAAGGTGAAGATCTCGGTAGGGCCAAGATTTCACCGTGTGTAAAGCTAAGCAGATGGCTACCTTTTTTTTTCCTTTTTTTTTCTTCTCTCTAGATTTCTTTCTCCCTCTTTCTTAGCCTATCTAGGTGAAAGACCAAAAATCACCTTGAGGCATAATCAGAAAAATTATCTTTTAAGTCTAAAAATGAATTACTGAGAACACAGCATTTAAAGAGTCTTTTTTTGTCTGTAACTATAAATAGCAGTGCTGAGCACTGTAACTGTAAATGTAGAACTCTTTCATAATGACTCTGGAGACTGACAAACATCCCCCAGGGATAATTTCTGCTCATCGTTTTCTACTAGTAGGGTTGCATATGTGGGTGGTCCTTGAGACCACCCCTAAACCTTCCAGGGCTTGTACATTACAAGTATTTCATATCTCTGACATTAAATGAACAGAAGATGCTTGGCTATGTCTTGCTGCTCTTAGGCAGTAGGCTTTGAAATATTTTAAACAAAAGGATCTGATCAAGTTCTGCTCTGTTATTCTCGGATGGCCACATGGATTTTGGATTCTGTGTGGACCTCTTGTTCACAGTATCACAGTTTTTAAAAAATCTGAAGAATTATTATCTGTGCCTAAATAGATCCATTTCACAATTGTATGTTTTTCATAAAGGACTCTTAAAAATGCTGCCTTGTAACTAACATGTCAAAGTATCCACAAACAGTTTTAGCTCATCTTTGTAAATATGGGAATTCAATGAGGCAGGTACCAGGACAAATTTGTACACTCCTGTCACACAGTTGCTGTCTGCTAGAGGTATTGTAGTTCAAACTCGTGGAATGACATACAGGCTCAAGGAGTTAACTAGCCCAAATGCGGTGACAGTTCAAATTGTTTATCCTGCCTTGATACCTGAAATGAGAAGTGGGAGCTGAAGTTGTAGCTTTTATTTAAGTACAGAACTGAGGTCTTCATGCAGCCCTATGTACACTTTTGATCACACAATGTGGGAAAAAACTAGAGAAAAAGGCTTATTCCTGTAGCCACCAGTACAATTTTTGCTGAGATCCATACAGTTTTTGATTGTAAGACTGAATGAATAAAGAGTCAAAATTATCCTCTCCTCTCTTAACACGAACCTCTAACTTAAGGAGAGTATATGTTAGTAGGAATGTGTGAACATTTTTCATTGCAGTTCTTTGTTCAGTGGATAAGCAGAGAACTCAAATTTCTAGACTGTAAATTTATAATTGTATGTAAGTGGTGATCTCACTCGCTCTATTTTAATTTAGTATTTTTTAAGACCACATAATACACCACTAGAAGCTGCATATTTTGTGTTTGGTTTTCATTAGTCTGTGAACAATGAGGTTTCTATATCAAATACACGTCTTAAAGATGCAGCGTGCCATTGTTCTTTGTGTCCATCACTCTATTAAATCAGCTGATGCAATTGTGTCACATGACTAACCATAATTTTATTTTATTTCATCTTATGTAAGTTAATGAGGAATTTACTCTTACTTCCATTCATTTCCCTAGGTGATATTTTTAATTCTGTTTTGAATTATGCCTTTTGTTAAAGCCTGTCTGTTTTGCAAAATAGCTTT